GTTGTTTGGCGGGTCCGGGCTGGGGATTCGAACCGGCCACCTTAGGTGTACGTGGCTGGCGCCTTAGCCGGTTGAGCTATAGGTGCCGAGTCGATGGTGAAACACATTTTATTTTCAAATGCCCTGAGTGACACTGAATCTTGGCGTCTTAGATTTTTGCTAGTGATGCAGTGGGATGGTGATGAAAATGTGTAGAAGGGCAAGGAAAAGGTACATTAAAAAAAAATGCCATTCTAAGAGAATTGTAATAGCATATAGAAATGGAGGGCTTTGCTGTGAGACCATGGTTTGACTCCTCCCTTAACCCCTCTCCAGACTTTCTTCCCTTCTATGTAAAACGAAGCCCTGATTCTGTAACTAGTATCTCACTAGATGCTGTGGATTTACAATTCTTGGATAACTAATTTGAATTTTGTTTGGCTACTAAACCTGTTTGGTTTTGTACTATAAAATAATACAAAGTTGAAAAATGGATAGGCAGGGCTTCATTTATATTATAAAACAAAGCAAAACAACAAAACCATACCATTCCTGAAGCTCAGGAGAAGGAATGAGACCTGCAGTTCCATTTTTGGAGTTTTCCAGTTTACCCTGCCACCAATTGTGATCATCCTTACTAATAATCTGGATGATGTCACCAACTCTGAATCGAATGCCAGCTTCTTTGCAGGGGATGAGGTCATCCTTGGCTGGATCATATTCAAATTGTGCTCTTACATAGATCTATAAAACAGGAGTTTGTAAGAAAGGATGCCATAGCAATATGAAGGAAAACAGCTTTAATTAAATAACCATACACCAACACTTACAATACAAACAGGACATAAGATGGTGAAAGCAAAAACGATGCGTGGAAATACAACACAAAAACTTCTATCTCTAGAAACAATGTGTTACTTTTGATGTGCACAGGTTCAAAAGTTTGCTGTTTTATTTGGAAGGAATATTTGAAATAATCTGTTTGATAAAAATACAGACTTAATTTATGCCTTTAGTATAACAGAATAGGCATATAATTATAGAAAAAAGTATTACCATTTTTTAAACTTGCATTGGTTATGTTTGTGTTATGGATAAGTTGTCATGACCATGTGGCAGCCCTTAATCCATAAATAAATTAGAAGAGTTTTAACCCTAAAGCAGCACACAGTATGAAACTAGCAAGAACTCTGGGTTGGTATCTTGCTGTAAAGTGCCTTACATGACAACTGGCAATGTGTCTACATGCTGCAGATAAATGTAACTTAAACAATTTTATGAAAAGTTTAAAAAACAGTTTTATTTTTAAAAAAGGATTTAGGTGTTATGTTTGTATTTTATTCTTCTGAGAGAATAAAAATGAATTTGAACTCTATCTCGTTCTGCCGATGTAACACTTGAAAGCAGCACAGAACTTTCAGACATGCATAGTTCAAAACTCTGTGAGTTTTATGGTATGTGAATCTACTTAAGAAACAGATTAGTGTACAAAGGGTTACCATAGTGACATTTTATGAATTACTGGATTTCTAAATCTTTAAAATAAGATACTGTATCTAATGTTGCATCAATCATGCAGTCTTAAGATTAAACTCTGAGTGAATTCTATCAGGTGTTAATTCATACAAATCTTAACTCTGAATCTGATTACCTTTTAACATTACATTTCAAGATAAAATCTCACAAAAATTCTATCTCATGAAATTAAATTTAAATATTAATGTTTAAGTCACTGTAAAACCAACCTGAAGGCTTTGGAACCATTGTGTGATTTTTCTGTTTATTTTCAGCAATCCAGCCTATAAAATTAACAAGTCTCTGTATTTATACCTATAATCTATATCTTTAAAGTGCTGGCAATTGGAAAGTTACTTGATAGTGTTAGGCAGCACTTAACTTGTTGGAACTAACAAAGGCACATCAGAAGATAAAGCCAAGATATTTATGTCCTTTTTCTTATTTTTCATTGCATATGGCTTTTAGAAATATATATGTAAATATAAATTTAAGAAAAAGCTTTCAACTTAAGAAAATTACTGCTTAAGAATGTTCATCAACATGCACTTTTTCTTAGAATTCTAAGAATTTTTTAAGCTTTAAAATTCTTTTCCACTGGTAAGACCCCTTAAGGCTGAATTCTTAACCATCCACACAAAATTATCAGGTTGAAATTACAATAACCATCACAGCTACAAAGATGTGAGAAAAAAATATTTATAGGGAATTAGTCATGTGTAATGTGTTAAAATGAAATGGTGCAAGCTCTCAATGCTCATATGTTATGGTCCAAAATGCAGACATTATGGGATGGAAGGGGTTAATAAAGGATTGGCTATTAGCAGCTCAGTTTAGAGAAGTTTCTATAGAGGATATCTATTCACCTGTCGTCCTTTTGGTTGGGTAGTTGATGGCAAGTCCTGTAGAATAAAGCCAACCCAGGAGAAAAATTTTCATTTACTTTTCAAGAGTACAAGGTAATTTGTGTGTTCTGTTACAATATGGTTAAAAAAAATGAGCTAGATTTAAGTTGCAAAGAGATAATATACATTATTCCATTTCTCAGAAATGTTGAGTTATCAAAAAATCAAACCCAGGCCATTTAGCAGCAAGCTGAAGAAAGCAGGTAAGTTTAAGCAGAGAGAAAATGTGTTCTTAAGAAACAACTCAGCATCTTCAACACAAAAGCCACTGCATGTGAAATAGCCTATTAAAAAAAACACCCCAAATAAAAAGAGCTGTTGCCCTTTTCAACTTAGGCATTATAACCATTTAGATTTTGAAAAATTCAATGGCTATATGGCTTTTCACCATCTTAAAAGTAATAATTGTTAACTTATAAATGAATTCCTTTGACTATTTTAAAGTTGAAATTAAATTCATAGATAATTTTTTTCCATAATTTCTCTTACTAATATATTTAGAATATCATTCCATTTGAGATGATATCTGAATTATTTATAATTTTACCTGATAAAAAAGTTGATATATTCTTAAAGGGCAAATTAAGTTAGGATAGAGGAATATGAATACTGCTGTATTATTAGGACTCTCAATAATTTCAACTGGGTGATGAACAGCAGTATCAGCAACTTAGAGAAGATTTAGTTACCCCACAATATTGCAAACCTGCACCTATAAGTGCTTCCATTTGTTTAAATAAATTTAAAACAATTCTTTCTATATTTCAAAATGGGTAGCTCTGAAGAAAATGTAAAATTTCAAGTTTAAGTCAAATACATTAAGTACTTTGTGTTAAAGATGTGATAACAGCGTGGCTTAAGTGCAGTTTGAAGCCAGTTCCTTTTGCTTTTCATATCCAGGCAAGGCTTATAATTCACAAAAATATGTGCACGTACCACAATAACAGAGGGCACACCAATTCGTAAACTTAGATAGCGGAAACTAAAACATGTTGCTGATATCACTGACAATAGAAAACTACAAAGCCCAAGAATACCCAAATACCTACTCTGCAAAATCCTTATATTTCTTTATCTTTCTCAAATTAAAAAAATATACTTAGAAATTTAAACAAATTTCCATTTATATCCTTTGCATAGGTTTGAGCAAAGTCATACATACTAGTGGGGTGGCATGGAAATATTTTTGAAACGACCAAAGTAGTCTTGAAGTATATTTCTTCAAATTTAGCTAATTAAAGGGATGTTAATGAGAAGGAAATGTTGAAAAAGATTTTCCAGGAGCATACTGCATTGTAGCTGTAGTAGCTTTGTATATTGGCAGAAGACAGTATTTCCACTGAACACATGTAACTAGAACACTCATGGCAGGTGAGCACCAACAAAATTGTCACACTTGGCTGTGTGGAGCTAGAGTTCTTACCGAAACAGAATTGTTAGTGCTGCTATGACCATTAGCTGGGGACTGTCTGGAAGTGGAGGGGGAATCTCTCTGAAATAAGACACAAGGTTCATTAACACAGAACACCAGCACAGAAACACAGAGATATTTACATCAACAGTTACAACCACAGTCTGACAACCATTTCCTTTGAGGTTTGAGCTGTAAAGGTGCCATTCTGACTTACTTGCATGATTTCACAGAAGTATGAAAAAAATTTTGCAGTTTGAAGATTCACATATTGTAAGTGATGACCGTGTCATTCATTAAGCATTTCTTTCCTGTCTCTAACATTCTATAACCTTTGCTTTCTTTTCATGAGACCCAGAAGAGTGTCTTGATATTAGAACCCTATCAAGTATCATAAGACGACAAATATTACTACAAAATTATCATGCCGAAAATCCCAACTGTTTTATTTTTATTAAAGATAGGTTTGAAATGCACTTAATAAATTTTGGGTACCTCAGTGTCAAGAATTACTCAGTGATTCAATTTGAAGAGAAATAAATCTAAGAAATAGACTTTACATGTAATCACCTTAGAATTTTTCTACAATAAATATTACTAATAAGGGTAACAGAGATATACCCAAGAAGAATTCTTTTCTTCTTAAAATCATTTTAGCATATTGAATAAAATGATAATCTTGAGCCTGTAACAATATTACACTTCTGGTAAAGATCTCAGGAGCCACAGCCACTCTCCCTATAACCATACTCCTTGATCACACTTGCTCTATTCTTCTACACACTCATAGTCGTTTCCAGATTCCATACCCTTAGTGTCCATATCAACTTTACCAATAAAAACAAAGAGAGGAAGAAAATAAGTACTTTAAAATTTTTGCTTTAGTAGAGTTTGTTTTAAGCCTTTGAAATGTACATGTCTGCTCAAAAGACACTGTTCTGAATGATTCAGAGAAATTCTGAAACTTGTTAGCCTTAAGGGTAATGGGATCACTTAGAGGAGCATTCCCAAATGTTAGTAAGCAAGATTGATCTCCAGGTGCCACTGACAGAGACTTAGGTCAGTGGGGCCATGATGAGGGAATAGGGATTCACTATTTTACCAAGGGCTGGAGAATGCAAATATGGGTGGTCAGACAGTCTTTTTGGGGGGAACATTTCTCTAGCTCGAAAGAGTCCAACCATAGGCTTGAATTCTGCCAGGGCACACGAGGATCAAAAAGTTGGGTTAAGAGAGGAGCATCATTATTTTTTCTACTATTCAAAGGTGAAGAAGGTAAAAGCGGGGGGGGGGGTTCTTATCAAGAGCATAGAATTCACATGTATAATACTGGTTCTACCTCAAAACTAGTTTAAGTCCTTAACAAACAAAAGCGATACTAATAACTAACAATATCTTCTGGTTAGTTAGCCAAAAAGACAAAAATCAATTGTATTGACTGCATTTCGTCAAGAAATAGTATGAGAAACATCTGTGATTTTATTTGTATTTATTTATTTATTTTTTGAGACAGAGTCTCACTATGTCACCCTTGGTAGAGTACTGTGGCATCACAGCTCACAGCAACATCAAATTCTTGGGCTTAAGCGATTCTCTTGCCTCAGTCTCCCAAGTAGCTGGGACTACAGGCGCCCGCCACAAGGCCTGGCTATTTTTTGTTGCAGTTGTCATTGTTGTTTAGTTGTCCGAGCTAGGTTGGAACCTGCCACTCTTGGTGCATGTGGTCGGTGCCATAACCACTATGCTATGGGTGCCGAGCCAACATTTGTGATTTTAAAATTATTTATACAAAATGTACATGAGACATTCTGTCTTTCACAGAATGGTTTGTGCTTTAGAATCCAATTTCAATTCTCTGAATTCTCTGAATTCAATTCTCTGAAAAGCAGTTTTGCATTTTCTTTTGAAATATACTACTAATTGAAGTTCCGTAAGAAGCCACCATGAGGAGCTCAAGGCCTGATAAAACAGGTATCCGATAATCGTCAAGGCTCACTAAAAATATACTTTATAATAAAAAAAATTTGATAAAACTACAAATTCTTATACATATCTTGAATAGGCTTAGAAAAAAAATATAAAGCTTCCGATTTTTCTTGTAAAATTTATGGCATCACTAGAGACTAGAAGTATTACAGTTTCTCCCTCAAACTCTCCTAAGTACAGATCCAATAAGTTACCTACCAGTATTAAAAATTAACTGTAGAGAATGTGTACTTCATATTGACATACACATACTTTGAAGATACACATGAAAGAGCAAGCATCCATAAATAACAGTCAAGCTAAATGTGCACTGACCAAATAATGATACCATTTATGTCAGTTTATAGTTTCAATGTAAAGAGAATAGATTTTCGAATTTCATTTAATAACCAGCATAAAACCAAATAATATAGGTTAAAAGAACTACAATTTCTATAGGATAAAACTATTTTAAGAAGGAAACTTTGGGGTTGTATTATTCTACACAACTTACTTGTTTATAAATCATATAACATTCCAAATTAAACAATTTTACAAAAGGTTGAAAAAGCCTATATCCTTCTAGTAAAGTCAATTATCAATTCATCACAGACTTAATTTTCATCTAGGGACCTGTCAAAATTACTTGAACAGCTCTATCTCAATAGGAATAGTTCACTTCTGAGATTCTTGGAAAGAAGAACTATCTGTGTGATTTCTTAACAAGGGAAGTGAATGTACTTCCTGGAAATATTATTGCAATTATGATCTGAATTTTTTTCCTTTAGAGACTCCTTTGTTCTTTATCAAGCCTTATGTCATTATTTGTAGCTTTCCTATATTTTGCTTAGATTTCAGCCTGCAAAAAGCTCAAGTGCTAAGGAGATCTGCATGGAAGCAGGGCTGAGTAGGTGGATGGGACCTACTCTGTTCCGTTATCTTTGTTGTAAAATTGGTGTGCAGTGATCTAACAGCACAGGCAGAAACAATTTCCCAGAAAGCAAAACATTCAGCCATCAGCAGACAGTTAGTTAAGAACTCAGAGAACATGGGGGTGGTCTGTTAGCGTCATTACCTCACAGGACGAAGACTGAGTGCGGTAACTTGGCACGATCTTGAAGGTAATACTCCCCCGCATTTCCCTCTGGAGAAAAAAAAAAGAGAGTTCTCTTATAAACAAATATTGCACTCAAAACCATGTAAGAAACCACTCAAAACATGTGGGGGTAGTTAGTGCAAGCCATCTGAGAGTCCACTGCCTTAAAACCAAATGCAGTTTATTTAGCAGAGACTGAGCAGTTTACATTCATAGCAGAGGACTTTCCTCGGAAAAGCCCAGGAAAGTCAAGGCTGATTGCCCTTGATAAAGCAGTGGTCTCATGGAACTCCAATGGTTTTTTTTTGTTTTTTAAGAGACAGAGTCTCACTTTGTTGCCCTCAGTAGAGTGCCAATGGCCTGACAACTCATAGCAACCTCCAGCTCTTGGGCTTACATGATTCTCTTGTCTCAGTCTCCCAAGTAGCTGGGACTAGAGGCACCCACTACAACACATGGCTATTTTTTTGTTGCAGTTTTGGCTGGGGCCAGGTTCGAACCTGCCACCAATTGTTCCTTTTCATAAATAGCAATATAGATCTCTAAGTGACATGCTTTTCCAAAGTGAATATAAATCGAACTAGATAATAGACTGTCTAAAATTATATTTAGTATGCTAAATACTAAATAGTACATTCAATAAAAATTGCTTTTTACTTATTAATTTTGGCATTATTTTTATTGTGGGAAGTTTGTGTTGCTTACTGCATACTTAATAGGTATTCATAATATGAGGGCTGCTACACTGTAGTGGGATGAGAAACCAGAGGTCCCTCCTCTGCTGACTATGACAATGAACACAGGCAAGGTCCTGTTATTTTGCCCTTTTTTTAAAAACCTAAAGCCTGATTTGAACACAGATTTTTAAATAAGTATGGTAAAAAATGGCCTGGCCTACAGTGACTTTCTTCTGCTCTGTGCTGTAGAGATATCCACTATAGCTGGCTATGACTCAGCTAAACAAGAAAGAGGTTTCTGACGTGCTGATGTCAGAAGAGTTGAGGTCAGTGGGAAACCAGTTCCCACGTATGCACACTGAGGTTTTCTTTAACTGTCTGCTCATCTGCTTGGTTAAGAAACAGGAGGTGAAAAATGAAAGGAGAGTGTTGGAGCCTACACTGCCAAAGATAGGCAAAATATTTCTAAACTCTATTCCTTATAAACATTTTCCTAGTTGTCAGTTTTATGAACATTTTATAAGTTCAAGTCCATGCAAATTATAGTCTGAGAAATACTTTTTTTTTTTTTGAGACAGAGACTCAAGCTGTCCCCCTGGGTAGAGTGCCATGGCATCATAGCTCACAGTAACCTCCAACTCCTGGGCTCAAGTGATTCTCCTGCCTCCACCTCCCAAGTAGCTGGGACTGCAGGTGCCCACCACAATGCCTGGCTATTTTTTGGATGCAGCCGTCATTGTTCTTTGGTGGGCCCAGGCTGGATTCGAACCTGCCAGATCAGGTGTATGTGGCTGGTGCCTTAGCCACTTGAGCCACAGGTGCTGAGCTGAGAAATACTCTTGATTACAAAAGAATACCTCTCCTTTGTGTGTTAAAAACAAGGTAACAAACTAAAAGTCAATTTTAGACAAAGAAAATCTTTTATTTACTTACAAGCATTTTTTGTAGCTGTTCCACAGTTTGGTTAGCCACACTGATGCCATTGATTTCTCGAATTTCATCACCAACATGAAGGGTACCTGAGAAATTACACAAAATTATAAACATGAAATGATATGTGATTCTATAGTAATAAAACTAGAGGCAGCCATGTAATTCTTAAAAATTAAGTTTAAGTTGGAAGACCAATATTTCAGAAACAGGTACAAGTTTGGCTACAGCAGAATTATTTAACTCATAGTAAATTACCAAAAAAGATACAGGCACTTGTGAAAGGCACAGTTTTGATGGATGGCTATGGATATCTGTTTATTTTTTTCTGAGACAGGCAGTCTGTACAGTGGTTTAACAGTATGGCTTCTGGGTTTAGTCCAGACTGTCTGGGTTCAACTCCCAGCCTCCTCACTTACTAGCTTCAAGATCTTGGATAGAAACTCAACTGCTCTGGAGGATCCGTGTGCGATTGCTAAGGTACATCTGGTGAAACTATGACTCAGTGGGCATGCATTACTACCACACGTAGTAAGAGACCCTTGTCTGCAACATAATGGGAGGAGGTGAAGAAGCAGTTCTTTGAAGCAACAAGCCAAAACCTACCAAAGCATAAACAAGTTGGAACTAATAGGCTGTCCCTTAAAAATGATGTACCCCAAGCAAAACATGAATATAACAAAAAGAAAAAAGAATACTTAAATGAAGATGTGAATGGATTCATGGAATATCTAAGACATAACTCACAGATGGTTCACAATGGGGAGATTATAGCATCAGACATTCAGGAAGTAAGGGAAGAAATTGCAGTTGCTTTAAAGAAAGACAGTCAACGGGAAGGAAAATGACTAAAAAGACATGCAGCAGAGAAAAATGCAATGGATCGTTTCCATTGTAGAAAACCTGGTGATGGAATTGCAGATTGTCCAGTTGCCCTTGAAAATCAAGATATGGGCACTGGAATATGTTACCGGTGTGGGTCCACAGAGCATGATATAACCAAGTGTTAAGGCGAAAGCAGACCCAGCTGTTGGTGAATTTCCTTTTGCAAAATGTTTTGTTTGTGGGGAAATGGGATACCTGTCTAGATCTTGTCCTGATAATCCCAAAGGACTCTACGCTTATGGTTGGTGGCTGCAAACTTTGTGGCTCTGTGAAACACTTAAAGAACGATTGCCCTGAAAGTTGGAATTCAGATGGAATGGTCACCGTTAGTCCCTGGGCAAAGGGAAATGAGTGCAGACTATGAAGAAAATTTGGATGCACCTAAACCATAGAAACCTAAAACAAAGATACCTAAAATTGTTAATTTTTGATAATGGCTAGTACAATTGTTAGTTACCACCTCATTGCCACTTTCTAAACTTGGCGTACTTCACTAATTAGAGCTAGGCTCCCTGGAGCCAACCTTTATTATAGATGTATGATTTGGGGATACTCAAAAACAGTTTTCTGCATTCTCTCCATAAAAGAGTACTTCTATCACTGTTTGGAGAAAATTACTGAAAAAAAGAAGGGCGTGATTAAATTGGATTTTCTAAAAGAATTATCTTTAACAGATAGAACTTAGAGGTATCTAAGTGATTACATACCTGATGGTAATAATCATCTTTTTTAAAAGCAAAATTATGCATAAATGTAAACCACCCCTTAATAAAGGGCACTGCTTGTTTTTGGAAAAAAAAAAAGATCTTGGGTAAGTTACTGAAACTCTTCATGCCTCAGTTTTCATATTTGTAAAATGGAAATGAAAATAGTGCCCATTTCATAGGATTGTTTTGAAGACTAAATGAATTTAGTATGCATAAAAGGTACATGTGTTCTTGGCACATGCTAAGTACTGTATCATTATTTGTTACTATTATTATTTACCAAATATGATACAAAGGTTGTTGGTTTTCTTTTTTTTTTTTGAGACAGAGCCTCAAGCTGTCCCCCTGGGCAGAGTGCCGTGGCATTACAGCTCACAGCAACCTCCAACTCCTGGGCTCAAGCGAGTCTCCTGCCTCCGCCTCCCAAGTAGCTGGGACCACAGGCGCCCGCCACAACGCCCGGCTATTTTTTGGTTGCAGCCGTCATTGTTGTTTGGCGGGTCCAGGCTGGGGATTCGAACCCGCCACCTTAGGTGTACGTGGCTGGCGCCTTAGCCGGTTGAGCTATAGGCGCCGAGCCGGTTGTTGGTTTTCTAAGAATTATGATCTGATAACATCTATATAACCAACATCTATATAACCAAACTTATATTAAGCATAATTTAAGGATTTTTTTAATTTCTGAGGGGTCTGTTGTTATTCCGTCTTTACCATTTCTGATTGATGAAATTAGAGACTTTACTCTTTTTAATTTAATCTTTTATAATAATTTGGCAGAGATTTCTGCATCCTGTAATACTTCAACTGGAAAGTGTGACCAAGAACCAACGTTTAGAACATTATTTACAATTTTGCTTCCTTATTTATAAATCGTGCACATGTTTACTGGCCTGGCTTCATTACAAAAAGTTCACAATATCTTTTAGAGGTACTTACTAAGATATACCTAAATAATATTATAAAATGCCTGGAGTTTGCATCAGAATAGTCCAGGGGGTGGGCAGTAGGGCAGATAGAGAACAAACTAGTGAGGCCATGAGGAGGGCTTAATGGTTATGGGTACATGGGTGATCACTACACTGTGTTCTTTACTTTTCTTTACTTGAACTCACTGCACTATTTTTTCTATGTATGTTAGAAAATTAACATAATACTCCCTTTCCCCCACCCCTCACTGCAAAAAAACTTAACATAATAAATAATGAAACTGAGGGGCTTTTACTTCCAACATGGCTGATTAGGCACTCAGAGACTTCCTCACAATTATATACTGCCTAGGGCACACCTCTTCAACTGTTACTGGTCTCACAAAAGGAATACAAATCTCTAAGAACCTTTCTTACTTTCACCTGTACCCTTCCCTCCATACCAAAAAACCCTGTGAGCTAGATCCAGCATGTTGGCAAGCTAAGGATGAGGTAAATTAGTGGGACGGGTGAATACCAGGGTAGCAACGCCTGCTAGCTGGAGTCTGTGTGTTGGGCCAATAGCAAGTTAGAAAGCTGACCCTAGGACCCTGTAGGGAACCAAGATTCAGATCACTGGGTACACATGGCAACTAGTAGAATAAGGAACAAACCCTCTCTGGAGCAAGTGTTCACAGTTTAGGTCTATAGGACTTCCACTGATCAGAACATGCAAAGAGTTCACAGTCAAAGATCACCAAACTTATCATAAGGCAAGCTAATATGTGTGAGAGTCACCAGAAATAGCACCTACAGATTTAGATCATTAAGGATGATAAATACTAGAATGGTCAGGTCAAATACACAATATAAAATAGCTATATGTTAAATGTTAGAAAAAAAGGAAGGACTCAATAGCAAGGATGAGCATGCAATAAGAGACTATCAGGTAAGCCGACAGGTTTGAAAATAAAAATAAAGGCTGAGAGTGGTGGCTCATGCCTATAATCTTAGCACTCTGGCAAGCTGAGGCAGGTGGATCGCTTGAGCTCAGGAGTTCAAGACCAGCCTGAACAAGAGCAAGACCCCTGTCTCTAAAAATAGCCAGGCATCCAGCCTGAGCCAGAGTGAGACCTCATCTCTCAAAATAGCCAGGCATTGTGGTAGGCACCTGTAGTCCCAGCTACTTGGGAGGATGAGGCAAGAGGATCACTTTAGCCCAAGACTTAAGGTTGCCATGAACTATGATACCATGGTATGCTCAAAACAAACAAACAAAAAAACCCAAATATGGCTGAAGAGTTTCAGTAAACTGGAAGATATAACCAAAATGATTACCTAGAATACAGGCCACAGAAATAAGGAAAAAAGATAACAAAAAATAAAAAGGAGAAATGAAAAAGATACTAAGAGATATAGAAGAAGTGTGTAATATATCTAACTGGAGTTTAGAAAGAGAAAATAGAGAGATGGAGGACAGGCAATGTTTAAAGGAACACTTAATAGTGGCAAATTTTATTGAACTGATGAAAATATAGTATACAGATTCAGAAAGAATAAGATAAATAAAAAGAAATCCATACTGAGAGGTAGTAAAACTATAGAACACCAAAGACAAAGATCTTAAAACATTCAGAAAGGACAAATCACCTACAAAGCAAGGGAAATTGTAGTGATACCAGTCTTTTCAATATCAAACAAAGGATGGCCTGAGATGCAAGGAGGAATGGTGAGCAAATAAAATCCTAAAAACTCATACAAATTAAACAAAAATGACCATATATTTAAAATTAATTTCAAATTTGTGGATTTAAAACAGGACTTCTAGAACTAGAACACTGGGCAAAAGAAGAACATAAAAGTCAGAAGGCGCTAATGATCTAAGACATTTAATATTCCAATGTCTTTTGTATTGCCTGGGAGTGGGATTATGATACTGCTTAGTATATTCAAAGTTAATATGAATAATAAAATTTCAAGGAAACCACTAAAAGAACAGAAAAAAGGCACTGAAATTCTAAACCACCAGTGGAGGAGAAAATGAAACAGCAATATAAACAAGAAAATCAATTAAAAAATAGAGTAGGGTAGCGCCTATTGCTCAGTGGGTAGGGTGCCAGCCACATACACCAAAGCTGGTGGGTTCGAACCCAGCCCGGGCCAGCTAAAACAACAATGACAGCCACAACATAAAAATAGCCAGGCATTGTGGCGGGTGCCTGTAGTCCCAACTATGGGAGGCTGAGGCAAGAGAATCGCTTAAACACAAGAGTTTGTGGTTGCTGTGAGCTGTGATGCCACAGTACTCTACTGACGGTGACATAGTGAGACTTTGTCTCAATAAATAAATAATAGAATAAAAATAAATTAAAAAGCAAGATGGTAGAAATAATCACAATAAATATTAATGGACTGATCCATTAAAAGATAGAGATCATCAGTATGCATCTAAAAAAATGAAAAACTCAGCTTTGGAAATGTTTAAAAGAGACACACTAAAGCTTAAGGCACAAAGTAACTGTAAATAAAAGGATAGAAGAAGACATGCTAGCAAATACTAAAATAAAGCTGGAATAATTATATTAATGCTAGATAAAATAGATTTTAACCAGAAAGTATTATTGAGGCTAGATATAGTCAGTAGGTACTTCTATGTACATAATCACACTGCTTCAAATATATGAGACAAAATGGAGAGATATGTAAGTAGAAATTGAAAAGCTATCATAATAATAGGATATTTTAATAATTACTGATTTGTCAAACAGACAAAAAATTAGTCAAGATATGGAAGATACGAATGAAAACAACAATCCCAAGCTAATTATCATCTAGGAAACTCTGCATGTGACAATTAAAGAATAAAAATTCTTCTCAAGGCTTGGCACTCGTAGCTCAGTGGGTAGAGCGTCAGCCATAACTTACTGAGGCTGGCGGGTTCAAGCCCGGCCCAGGCATGCTAAACAACAATGACCACTGCAACAAAAAATAGCCAGGTATTGTGGTGGGGGCCTATGGTCCCAGCTACTTGGGAGGCTAAGGCAAGAGAATTGCTTAAGCCCAAGAGTTTGAGGCTGCTGTGAGCTGTGACGCCATGGCACTCTATTGAGGGTGACATAGTGATACTCTGTCTCAAAAAAAAATTCTTTTCAAGTACACATGGGCCATTTACAAAAATGACTGAAGTGCTGTGCCATAAAGCAAGTCTCCACAAACCTCAAAGAAATGGTGTCATACAGCCCACATTCTCTGACCACAGTGCAATTAGGTTAGAAGTAAATTACAAAAAGACATATAGAAAATTCCTTTAAATGTGGAATGCAAAACATACTTGTAAGTAACTTATGGGTCAATGAAAAATATCATTAATAGAAATGTAAAAATGCTTGGAACTGAATTATAATAAAACTGCTTAATATCAAAATTGGTAGGATACAGATAACATAGGTATTTACAGGGAGGTTTTAGACTTAAATGCATATAGTAGAAAAGAAGAAAGACTGGAAATAAATGAATTATGTGTCTAATTTCAGAAGTTATCCACAACCAATAGAAAGTAGAAGGAAGGAGATAATAAAAATCAGGTCATAAAACAATGAAATAGAAAATAAACATAGAATAGAGAGAATTAATAAAACTCAAAGTGAATTTTTGGATAAATCTCTGGCAAGGTTGATCAAGAGAAAAAAGAGAAGGCACAAATAAACATTAGGAATGAACAAAGGACATAATTATAGAGAAGGTAGAGAATAAAAAGGGTAGAGACTACTGTAAAGCTTTCTACAATATTAAAAACCTTAGTTATTTTAGGAAAATGTAATTTATCAAAACTCACTTAAGAAATGGCCTTATAAATGTAAAAGAAATTGAAGCAGTTGTAAAAACCAAAACCAAAACACCAGGCTCTGATATTTTTATGAGCAAGTTCTATCAAACTTTCAAGGTACAAATCATTCCAACATTATAGAAAGTTTTTCAGGGAATCAAAGTCATTCTACAAGGCTGATACAACTTTGAAACCAAAATCAGACAGAATAATACAAGGAAGGGAAATTAACTACAGGCTAGTCACACTCATAAATGTAAAAACAAAATAGTAAACAAAATATTAGCACACAGAATACAGCAGCTATGGTTGTAAAGATAGTACACAATGACTAAGCTCCATTTATCTGAGAAATGCAAAGGTGGCTTATCATCAGGAAATCTTTAAAAGTCATTCACCACATTAATAGATAAAAGGAAAAGAATAAATGATCATCTTAGCAAATGTAGAAAAACATTTGATTAAATCCAAAACTTAATCAGAATTAAAATGCTCAGCAACTAAGAATATAAAAAGAACTTCCTTAACCCAAATAAAAGGTATGTGCTAAAAATCTACATTTTTTTTTTTTTTTTTGAGACAGAGTCTCACTTTGTTGCCCTGGGTAGAGCACTGCGGTGTCATAGTTCACAGTAACCTCAAACTCTTAGGCTCAAGAGATCCTTCTGCCTCAGCCTCCAGAGTAGCTGGGACTACAGGCCCCCAGCCACAATGTCTGGCTATTTTTATTTGCTCAGCCTGGTCTCAAATTCCTGAGCTCAAGCAATTCACCTGCCTCAGCCTCCCAGAGTGCTAGGATTACAGGCATGAGTCATTGTGCTTTGCTAAAAATCTACATTATTCTGAATGGAGGAAACATGGAAAGATTTGTTTTAAAAATAGGATAGAATAAGAATGTCTACAACAACACTTCCATTAAAGACTGCAGGTCTTACCGAGTGCAGTAATATAACAAAGAGTTTAAAGAAAAAATGATCTTATGATTTTACTGAATATATACTAAATTTTTAAAAATAAACAAAGCTGGGCGCAGTGGCTCACACCTGTAATCCCAACTTTCTGGGAGGCCGAGGTGGGTGGATTGCCTGAACTCAGGAGTTTGAGATCAGCTTGAGCAAGAGGGAGACCCCATTTCTACTAAAAATTGAAAAAGTAGCTGGGCAGTGTGGCTGGTGCCTGTAGTCCCAGCTACTCAGGAGGCTGAGGTCGGAGGATCCCTGAACCCAGAAGTTTGAGGTTATTGTGAGCTATGATGCTATGACACCCTACTCAGGGCAACAGAGAGATAAAATAAAATAAAACAAAAAATAAAGATAACAAACAAAAAATACATAGTGGAATCTAAAACCAAACATCTTCCTATGGGACTGCTGTATATGGTACTTTCTATGCTTATCAAGATCCCGCTGAAAGCAGCAGTGATGCCAGGCACCATTATGTGTACACAGTGGTCATCTGTCAAGAGGAGAATAAGGCACTAAAATGCTTAGGGTGTTATCTGTTGTTCTCTAAAAGTAAGGAAAGAGGTGTCAAGTACAAAAATAACCCTCTCTCAAAGTAAAGGAATCTGACAAATAATTTTTGGAACATCCTCTGAATAGTGCATATTACTCAGTCCTTTAAAAAACCTAAATATACATGTCCAAATCCTGTTTATCCTTGGAGTTACTGAAGTTCCACTTTCTTTTTTCTTTTTGGAGACAGAGTCTCACTTTGTTGCCCTTGGTAGAGTGCTATGGTATCATAACTGACAGCAACCTCAAATTTGTGGGCTCAAGTGATTCTCTTGCCTTAGCCTTCCAAGTAGCTGGGACTACAGGTGCCTGCCACAGCATTTGGTCATTTTTAGAGATGAGTTCTCACTCTAGCTCAGGCTGGTCTCGAACCTGTGAGCTCAGGCAGTCCACCTGCCTTGGCCTACCAGAGTGCTAGGATTATAGGTGTGAGCCACTGTGCCCAGCCTGAAGTTCTACTTTCTTCAAAAATCATTCTTCGTCTACTTCAGTACTTAGTGAATTCCCTCCACAGTAAAAACTGCACTTATTGTAGCAGATATTAAGAATTTAATCATCAAGTTGACGTTTCTTATCTTACCACTTAAATACTGTATTATTATTTATCTAACTCTATGATGCCCTAGTTTATAAATAGCATATTTCGGGCGGCACCTGTGGCTCAAAGGAGTAAGGCGCTGGCCCCATATGCCTGAGGTGGCGGTTTCAAACCTAGATCTGGCCAAAAAAAAAAAAAAAAAAAAAAAACCCACCCCCCAAAAAGAGAGAAACAATAAAAAAAAATAGCATATCTCATTCCTGAATGAGTGAGAAAGCAATTCTTAAACTGTTTTTTATATAACTTATATTCTAGAGTAGACATCTCCTCTGTATCCTGAGGCCTGACATAGTCTCTAATATTAGTCACAATCTAACAATGATTCAGAGATGCTTCAGCCAACAGAACTCTAACATACCCTCCCCATAATATCTATATGTTGGAGCATGTGCAGATGAACATGAACTGATGGAGGCCACCAGTGGTTAAAGTCAAAGACAACAAATCTATCTTTTATATGGATCATAAAAAACACTTTCTTCACTAGGCTATAGGAGAAAAAGTTAAGGAAGGCAAAGAAAGAAATATATGAGACTTACCTTGTCTGTGAATCATGCCTCCATGCATAATTCTTGCAACAATACAATGATTTAGTTCATTCATTTTTAAAGTAATTCCCTGTAAAAAAAAAAAAGTTCAGTTAAAGAATTATTATGAAAGCATTTCTCTTAATATTTATAATTGTTCTGTAGGTAATTTTAATTTAAAAAGTTTGAAAAACATTAAAGAAAATATGGAAAATGGAGAAGACCATCCATTACCCCCTCATGCACAAAATTGCTTCATGACAACAATACTATTTTTGGTATTTTGATTGCTATGATAATAGTATACATACATTTTTATATAGTACCTTCCAATCTTCTAATTATACATTGCTCTGCTTTTCATGCTGCCAATTATTTTATTTTTTTATTTTAATAAATTGATGGGGACAAGTTGAATTCCATTACTTGTATATACTGTTTAGTAGTTAAATCTGGGCTTTTAGTGTACCCACGACTCAAATAGTGTTCATTGTACCCCATAGGTAATTTTTCATAAATCATCCCCTTCCACCCTCTCCATTTTTGGTCTCCAATGTCCACTATATCACTCTGTGTGCCTTTGTACCAATTATTATTATTATTATTTTGTAGAGACAGAGTCTCACTTTATTGCCCTTGATAGAGTGCCCTGGCATCACACAGCTCACAGCAACCTCCAACTCCTCAGCTTAGGCGATTCTCTTGCCTCAGTCTCCCAAGTAGCTGGGACTAGAGGTACCTGCCTCAATGCCCGGCTATTTTTTTTGTTGTAGTTTGGCAGGGGCTGGGTTTGAAACCGCCACCCTTGGTATATGGGGCCAGCGCCCTACTCACTGAGCCACAGGCACCGCTCCCAATTATTTTTTTTTAAAACAGTTTTTGGCTGTGTATGGTGGCTTACACCTATAATCCCAGCACTTTGGAAGGTTAAGGAGGGAAGACTGTTTGAGGCTAGGAGTTCGAGACCAGCCTAGACAACATAGCAAGACCTCTGTCTCTATAAAAAAAATTTTTTTTTTTTAATTAGCTGAGCATGGTGGCATGTGTCTTGTATTCCTAGCTGCTTGGAGGGCTAAAGTGGGAGGACTGCTTGAGCCCAGAAGTTCAAGGCTACAGTGAGTTATGACTGTGTCACTGTATTCTAGCCTGGGCAACAGAGAGAGACTCCATCTCTAAAAGAATAAATAAAACCAGGGCAGTGCCTGTGGCTCAAAGGAGTAGGGCGCTGGCCCCATATACCAGAGGTGGCGGGTTCAAACCCGGCCTCAGCCAAAAACTGCAAAAAATAAATCAGTAAATCAATAAATAAATAAAACCAAGAGCAAGACCTCATCTCTACTAAAAATAGAAAAAAGACTAGCTGGGCATGGTATAAATTTGTTTGCACTATCCAAGTGTATACCCCTTTTGTTGTTGTTGCTTTTTTTCACTCAGCGTAATTATTTTGAGACTCTCCTACATTGCTGCATGTATCAATACTTTATTCTTTGTTCTTGCTGAATAGCCTTCCACTGAATGGATATACCAGATTGTTTATCCATTCACCCAGATTGTTTATCCATTCACCCACTGAACTGTTTCCAGTTTTTGGCAATTATAAGTAAAGTTGTATTCCTGGGTTAATCCCCATTTCATTATAACATATTCTTCTTCTTTTTCTTTTTCTTTTTTCTTTTTTGAGACAGAGTCTCATTATGTCATCCTCAGTAGAGTGCTATGATGTCACAGCTCACAGCAACCTCAAACTCTTGGGCTCAAGTGATTCTCTTGCCTCAGCCTACCAAGTAGCTAGGACTACAGGCACCTGCCACAGTGCCCAGCTATTTGTTGTTGTTGTTGTTGTCAATGTTGTTTAGCAGACCCAGGTCAGGTTTGAACCTGCCAGCCCCAGTGTATGTGACTGGTACTCTAACCACTGGGCTATGGGTGCTGAGCCCACATTCTTCTTTTTTAAAGATATGGAACACTTTGTGTATCATCCTTATACAGAGGTATAAAGGCCATGATATTTTCTTTTTCCTTTTTTTTTTTTTTAAGAGACAGAGGTGTCACTATGTTGTCCAGACTGGTCTCCAACTTCTGGCCTCAAGCAATCCTCCTACATCAGCCTCCCAAGTAGCTGAAATAACAGCTGAGAGTCACCACGCCTGGCCACAATAATTTTTTGTGTAGTGTTTATATTTTAGTTACCTGCCACCAAAGTGAGCACATATTAACCTTTGTATACATTGTTGGATTTGTTTTTCTAAAATTTTGTTTAGAATTTTTGCATGTATATTCATGACTACTAGCCTGTAGTTTTCTTTCCTTGTAAAGTCTTCATCTGGTTTTGATAGCAGGGTAATGCTGGCTTTACATGAGTTGAAGCCAGGTGTGGTGGCTTATACCTGTAAATCTGAGCACTCTGGGAGGTTGAAGTAGGAGGATTGCTTGAGCTCAAGAGTTTGAGACCAGCCTGAGTAAGAGCAAGACCCCCATTTCTACTAAAAATGGAAAAATTTTTGTCAGGTATCATGGCACATGCCTGTAGTCCCAGCTATTTGGGAGGCTGAGTCAGAAGGATTGCTTGAGTCCAGGAGTTTGAGGTTGTTGTGAGCTATGATAATGCCACTGCTCACTACTCAAGACTCTGTCTCTAAGAAGAAAGACGAAAGAGAAGAATGAGGAGTTGGTAAAAATTCCTTCTTTTTCAATATTTGGAAGAGTTTGTATTGAATTTGTATTATTTCTCTATTATATGTTTGGTAGAATTCACCAGTGAAGCCATCTTGTCCTGGAGTTATCTTTGAGGGATGGTTTTTTAACTGCAAATGCAATTTTTATATAGTATAGGGCAACAATTCAGTTTACTCCTTCTTAAATGAGCTTTGGTAGTTTTTGTCTTCCAAAAAATCTTTCCATTTTATCTAGGTTGTCAAATTTATTGGCATAAATCTGTTTATCTGATTTTCTTATTATCCTTTTTATATTTGCAGAATCTATATTGATGCTCTATCTCTTATGCCTGATATTGGTAATTTGTACCCTCCCCCTCACCCCCGATTATGCATTTTTCCTGATCAGTCTGATCTTCTCAAAGGAAAACTATCTTTGTTTTATTGAAATTCTATTGCTTTTTTGTTTTCTATTTCATTAATTTCCACTTTGATATTTGTTATTTCTTCTACTCATTTTGAATTTAATTTATTCCTTTTTATTTTAGTTGCTTAAGGTGGAAGCTGAGGTCACTGATTGGAGATATTTCTTCTTTTCTAAATATAGGTGTTTATACATAATATATACGTGTGTGTGTTTGTCCACAGTTCCTGGATCATAATTTCCATAGTCTTTGTTATGATGTTGGGGAAATTAAGGCCTCAGGAGCAAGTCTCAGGAAACAGTATCTTTCTTTCTGGCCTTTTCTTGTCCTCCTGACCTTAGTGCTACTGTTGGCATGCATTTTTCTCTTATATCTGCTATGAGCTAACAAAACACATTGTTAATTTTGTGTTTTACTATAGATGCCTGCCACAATGCCCAGCTATTTTTAGAGAAGGGGGTCTCGCTCTGTCTCAGGCTGGTCTCAGATATTTAAGTGATAAGAAAAAGAACTTATAGCTTTACCCATGTAGTTACTATTTTCAGTGTTCTTTATTCCCTTTTTATGAATTCAGATTTCCATCTACAATTTTCCTTATGCCTGAAGAATAGCCTTTAATATTTCTTTCTTTCTTTTTTTTTGAAGACAGAGTCTCACTTTGGTGCCCTGGGTAGAGTGTTGTAGCGTCCATCACAGCTCACAGCAACCTCAAACTCTTGGGCTGAAGCAATTCTCTTGCCTCAGCCTCCCAAGTAGCTGGGATTACAGGCACCCGCCATAACACCTGGCAGGGGTCTTGCTTTAGCTCGGGCTGGTTTTGAACCCATGAGCTCAGGCAATCTGCTTGCCTTGGCCTCACAGAGTGCTGGGATTACAGGTGTGAACCACCGCCCCTAGCTACCTTTAATATTTCTTACAATGTGGGTCTGTTGAATTCTTTCAGCTTTGGTAAGTCTGAAAATGTTAATGTTTTGGCTTTGTTCTGAAAGATACATTTTCTGGGCTTAGAATTCTAAGAATTTTTTTAAAAGTACTTTAAAGACATTGTTGTCCTTATTTACACTGCTTCTGAAAAGATACTGATCCTTATCTTTGTCCCCCTGTATGTAACATTTCTTTTTTTTTTTTTTGCTCTGTTTTTAAGATTTTCTGTTTGTTACAGATTCTAAGCAGTTTGATTATGATGTGTGTTGGTGTTGTTGTCTTCACATTTCTTTTTTTGTTTGTTTGTTTTCATTTTTTGTTTTTTGAGACAGAGTCTCACTTTGTCACCCTTGGTAGAGTACTGTGGTGTCATAGCTCACAGCAACCTCAAACTCTTGGGCTCAAGCAATTCTTTTGCCTCAACCTCCCAAGTAGTGGGGACTATAGGTGCCTGCCACAATGCCCGGCTATTTTTAGAGAAGGGGTCTTGCTCTGGCTCAGGCTGGTCTTGAATTCATGAGCTCAGGCAATCTACCCACCTCGGCCTCCCACAGTGCTAGGATTACAGGCATGAGCCACCATGCCTGGCGTATCTTCATGTTTCTTGTGCTTGGAGTTCACCATGGTCCATAGTTTTCATCAAGTTTGGAAAGCTTGACAGAAGCTATATTAGGCTACTTGAAGTTGTCCCACAGCTCAGTGATGCTCTCTTTTATTTTTAAAAATTCTGTTCCTCTATGTGTCTCATTGTGGATAGTTTCTACTATTATGTCTTCAAGTTCACTCATCTTTTCTGAAATGTCTAATCTTCCTTTAACATCACAGTATATTTTCCTGCTAATTCTAGTATCTGGGTCAGTTTTGTGTTATTTTTGATATTTCTCCATATTATAGGTCACACTTTTCTGTCTCTTTACATGGTTAGTAATCTTTGATTAGATGCCAGTGTGAATTTTACCTTGTTGCATGCTTGATGTTTTCATAGTCCTATAAATATTCTTTTTTTTTTTTTTGAGACAGTCTTACTTTGTTGCCCTCAGTATAGTGGTGTGGCGTCATAGCTCACAGCAACCTCAAACTCTTGGGCT